GATAGATAGATAGATAGATAGATAGATAGATAGATAGATAGATAGATTGATAATGTAAATTATTTTTGTTGTTTGTTTGAAAATCAACATAAAGTGTTAAAAGAAAAACACATTTAGAGAAATACTTCCATTTCTAAATGGGAATATAGTTGCACATAAGCTTGCCTTGAATTAATTTATTTTTTTCTCCTATTTTTATATGTACAAACGGTGCCTTTTTATTTCTTAAACTATTTTTCATGCCAATGTGGGTTTCTCTTAAATATAATCTGGGATTTTTTTAAATCTAAGTTTTAATTCTATGTTTTTATTAGTGACAAAGTCATCATAGTCGGATTTTGAACCATTTCAAGGCGTTTAAAGCGGTTGTTTGCAAATGGGGAAAAAATCAATCTCCAATCCTAACAGCGCGAACGTTTCTTGAGCGGAAGTGACACCGGAAGTAAACCCCACACTCCACAGCATTGTTTGCTAGTTAGCACACGCATGCTAACTTCATGATCCCTGACGCAAAGTGCTTGTTTTAGAGCACCATTGAGAGTTGTAGAATTTCAGAGGAGCTCCTGTCACACTTTATTCAAGATGAGAACTGTTTTGATGGTGGCAGAGAAACCGTCTTTGGCTCAGTCGATTGCTAAAATTCTCTCTAAAGGTGAGCACTCATTGAAAGCTAGTTTGTTCCATGGGACATTTCTCACGTCGTAACTTAAAAGCTTAAAAGCCCATTACTTTGCCCTATTATATTTTTTTATGGTACTCATTTAATTGTCATTGTAGGAGTGACTTAATGAAATTAGTACCATTGATGAAGGAATGAAACAAACTGAGAGAAAGACGTTAAGAATCAGAGTAAACACGTTTCTGCTCCTTTAACAACAACAAACTGCAAACCCACAACAGCTGTGCACCTACACGTGTCCATAAAGACTATGTAAACACAGCTGCAGACTAGTCCCAGTTTACAGGTAGACTCACAAGCACAGCAGTCACTGATGCTAATGGTGTTAGCATGGCTATATTTAACATGGTTATATAGGAAGAAGCTGGTCAGATCTCTCCATTTGTACCACAGATCTGATTTGAGAAGCAGGGGATTAATCTGCAGCCCTACTTTAGCCTTTAACCTCCTTCTGTGTCAGTTTGTCATTCACCAGAGTGATCTCATGATTGATTAAAAGCTCTTTATAGTCTGTTTTGTAAAAAAAAACATAACATTCAATTTGATTTACTTTGGTGTAGAATTATAATCTGGGACCAATGATGTGGAATCTTAGCCAGAGTGATTCATTCTGTGGATGAAAGTCCTATAACGTGGGGCGAGATGCAAATTGGAGTGGGTCCCGAACAGTGTTTACCTGCTTCCTGAAGAGAGCCAGTACCAGTGATGGTCTGTAATCAGTGAGATTAGACGGATGAGACTCAATTGTTTCTCTATTTTTTAACATATTTGGGTAGATCGAGAGTTTACGTTAGATGTTGTTTGTAACCTGAAAATGACAGAGCTGATGACATCACAGACTTTTACCAGGATGACAGTGATGTATTTAGGATTACGCCATCCTTTGATTTCTTAACGCCTCTTTTTCCCTTTTCTCCTTTAGGAAGCTGTACGAGTCGGAAGGGGCTCAATGGAGCGTGCTCGGTGCACGAGTACACGGGCAGCTTCCAAGGCCAAACAGTCCGCTTTAAGATGACCTCAGTGTGTGGACATGTGATGAGTCTGGATTTCATTGGTGAATATATGTATATATTTTCAGTGCAAACTGGATGTATTTTATCTGCACCTTTCACTTTTTATCCATCAAATTTATTTTGTTGATTAAATTTCTCTCTTTGTTTTTCTGCTTTTAAATTCTTTGTAGAGCACTTTGAATTGTCTTGTACAGGAAATGTGCTTTACAAATAAACTTGCCTTGTCCACTGCTCATGAGTTGTGAGAGGCAGAGAAATATTTGATCAGATCAGGCTCCAGGAAGTGATTTAAACCCACCCAAAGATCCCACCTGTAGATACAGAACAAGCAGGACATTCTGTGACATTGTGATGGTGCTCTTTCATTGTTTTCATTGTTAATTGCTCTGTAGTGACCCATCATCTCTGCGTCAGGTCAGCCATGATGTGATACTTAAGCTGGACCTTATTCAATGTGACTTCAGAAGGGTTTTATACGTACACATTTCATGTACGTACACATAAATACGTATATGCTTCTTTTCTAGGGAAATACAACAACTGGGACAAAGTGGACCCTGCTGAACTCTTCAGCAAAGCTCCGACAGAGAAGAAGGAGGCGAATCCCAAACTGGTCATGGTGAAGTTTCTCCAGGTGAGTTGTTTGACTTTTCCTAAATATTCATGCTGGAAGGATCACAGACTGTCTAATGTTTGGCTCTCTCTAGTGGTGAGAAACCCACATGGTGTTGGAAAAAAATAAAAAATAGAACAGGTAAATTAGACGCACAGCCTAAATAGTTCCAAATAAAAGTGGTTATATCCAATGCTCATTTTCTGGCCTTTTTGGGGTTCCTGATGCTTGAAATAAGGATTCAATTATATAAAAAGACCAACAGCTGGTTCCCACGATGGACTTTGAATCGCAGCAGATTGTTTAGAACCATTATCAACGGGTAACTCCCAGTAGAAAACAGGCGCATCTCGTCCACATGTTAAATTCATCCCCCAAAAATAATAAGTCCTTTAAAGATGCAGCCCTTCGTGTAATCTTTTAAAACTGAGAAACAAAGGCATTGGTGGTACTGGTGAGAAACACAAAAGAAAAAAAAAGATTCTTGTGAAAAGTTTAAAAGATATGTAGATTGGTTGTTTCTGAACAACTCATCTATATATCTTTTAAACTTTTAACAAGAATTCTGTTGATGTGTGAGGAGGAAAGAGGCTGAAACAGGAGAAATCTGATTGGGAGAGCATAATGATAAAGAATTAGAGCAGTCCAATCCAGAGGGAATTTTTTTTTTGTATCACACTGACAAGATCTTCCAGATTTTTAAGGATTTCTAAGGGAAAAGAAGGCAGTCTTGGTCATGGTAATATGATGCCTACAGCAGAACCAAAGTGGTTATTTTTTATTGAACCCAGGAGTGAGTGTGCGTAGTTGTTTGTCTCTGTGTGGCCCTTTAATGGACTGGAGTCCTGTTCAGAGTGTACCTCTCCCTGACCCAGTAACACAGGAGATGGGCCAGCCCCGAGGTCATCTTTAAGTTCCTATTGAATTCAATATGGGAAAATATTGTTCACGAATCAGTAAAATGTCTGTTTTGTGTTCCTGTTAAAAAGAGATATTTGTATACTAGCTGGAGGACGCTGGGGTAGACAAACAACTGGTTGACTGGACCATTGACTACCTCACTGACCGTCCTCAGCACGTGCGGCTGCATGGCTGCCAGTCAGAGGTGGTACTCTGCAGTACAGGGGCCCCCCAGGGCACAGTCCTGTCTCCGTTTCTGTTTACCATCTACACCTCAGACTTCACCTACAACACGGACAGCTGTCACCTCCAGAAGTTCTCCGATGACTCGGCGATTGTGGGCTGTGTGTCTGAGGGGAACGAGCTGGAGTACCAGTCGGTCATCATGGACTTTGTAAATTGGTGTTCGAAAAACCATCTGTGTCTGAACACCAATAAGACCAAAGAGATGGTGATCGACTTTAGGAGAAGACCACCACTCCACCCCCCAGTGAACATCCAGGGGCAGGACATAGAAACTGTACAAAGTTTCAAATACCTGGGTGTTCACGTGAACAACAAACTGGACTGGACTCACAACACTGACGCCCTGTATAAAAAGGGCCAGAGCCGCCTTCACCTCCTGAGGAGGCTGAGGGCCTTTGGAGTCAGCAGGCCCCTCCTTCAGAGCTTTTACGACTCTGTAGTGGCCTCAGCCCTCCTCTACGCTGTCGTCTGCTGGGCCCCTGGCAGCACAGAGCGGGACAGGAAGAGGCTGAATAAGCTGGTGAGGAAGGCCACTTCTGTCCTGGGCTGCCCTCTGGACTCAGTGGAGGAAGTGGCTGAGAGGAGAGTGTTGTCCAAACTAAGATCCATCATGGACAACACCTCTCACCCCCTGCATCGGACTGTAGAGGAGCTGAGCAGCTCTTTTAGTAAAAGACTCAGACACCCTGTGTGCAAAAAAGAGCGATACCGCAGGTCTTTCATCCCTGCTGCTACCAGACTGTACAACTCTGCACTTTAATAACTGCTGTGCAATTGTGTTATATTTATTGACCTGTATAATATGTGTACTGTGTGTGAGCCCTCAATGATTGTATATATTTTAATCACCCAAATCTCTATGCTGTGTTTCTTTCTTTGTATATTTGCTTGCTTTTGATGTACTTTATGCACCTTTTCCTCCTTTTGTACCCTAACCGATATGTGACCAGTGAATTTCTCCACTGTGAGATCAATAAAGCTCTTATCTTATCTTATCTTATCTTATACAGGCTTAAACATTGTATTCTGTTTTTGTTCACAAAGGTTTTGGAATTGTGTTTGTGTGTTTCTCATCTCGAGTTTCTGGTGCTTTGACAGACTGAAGCCAGAGGCTGTGACTACGTGGTTCTGTGGTTGGACTGCGATAAAGAAGGCGAGAACATCTGTTTTGAGGTAACCCAGGCACCAGATATTCACACAACCTCTGGAATGGAATCTCACAATAATCTTGATTAGTCAAACAGTGCTGATCTCACCATTATGCAAAACAAAAGGCAAAAAGAAGTACATTGTGACAAGTTTTTTTCAATTTAATTTGAATTTTTTTTGTCAAACATCATCTCAAGATGCTTCAAAGACCCCATCCAATGCATTGTATTACAATGACAATCCTGTCAAATACGGTTCATTAGATTCCAAATTAGTCCAATTCATACAAAAATAATTAACAAAAAAGATTAATCGCTATGGAAACAAGCAGACCACACTGTCTTTAATCCAGTCCTTCGTCCTGATCATACCCAAGTCAACTGTGGAAAGAAAAATCTCCTTTCAAACAGAATGAAGCATCCATCAGAACCAGAACCGGAAAGAGGCCTTTATCAGAATCACAACCTGGGCATATACCATTTAAACGTGCACAATAACTGAGACACTATAGATTTGTTTTGTTTTTTTCTGTAAAACCAAGGCTTCCCAATCTGCTCAATTACAAACATAAGAATATGTAAGAATTCATTTTCCTTTCTTTTCTCTTCTTGCTGAAACACTGGGACTGATAAGGACTTGTCTTATCTTAACTGTAAACATCCAACGCAGATTTAAAAGGAAATTAATCGTATCTTTTATTTTTAACATTTAAGACCAGAAAATATTTGTCGTGTTTTCGTCTAAAAGCTTTATATTCCGGCAGCCTGAGTTGGAACTTGTATAAAACAAGCCACTCCATCTTTAGACTCACAGAAAGCTTGTTTGTTTTTCCGGACTCCAAGGTTCTGGATGCGATTCAGCCCGTGATGAATAAGGGGATCATCAGGGAACAGACGGTGTACCGAGCCAAGTTTAGCTCCATAACAGACACGGACATCCACAACGCCATGAACTGCCTGAGAGAGCCCAACCGCAACGAGGCCCTGGCAGTGGACGCCCGCCAGGAGCTGGACCTCCGCATAGGCTGCGCCTTCACCCGGTACAGTGCACACCCCCTAAGTTGCTCATAATGACGGTAAAGACACACGGACAGGCAGTCGAAGCCTAAAAATGCTTTATTCTGTGTTTTGATGAATTACTAATCGGCGTATTCAGCTTTCCATGATGCGTTTTGTTGTCATTGGACAAATATATGTTAAAAGGGGCCATCTCACCATATATTTTGTTAAACATCCTCAGTATTTAACTGACTGGAAACATTTACTAAGCCAAACAAATGTCTGATATCTGCGTTTCCTTCATGTTTATGCGCGGACATTCATAGATTTGAATTGGGTAAAGCATACAAAGTATACCAGCTCACAACGGCTTGCCCACTGAACCCTCACATAGCACAAATCTGGAATAATGGCGATATGTTTTGAGCAAAATATCTTCCACAGTTCAGCACATCTGTTCAGTTTCCCATCGGGTTAATTTCTGTCTTTGACTAATTGAGGGTCCGTTCAAAATACGTTGTGCAAGCCTGTCTTTTATCACCTTTTTCAGGTTCCAGACCAAATATTTCCAGGGGAAATACGGCAATCTGGACTCCTCTCTCATCTCATTCGGACCGTGCCAGACGCCCACTCTCGGTTTTTGCGTGGAACGGCACGACAAGATCCAGTCCTTTAAACCAGAGACATTTTGGGTTCTCCAGGCAAAGGTGCGACAAAGATTTCTTCCTGTGACAATAAATGATAACAAAGGTTTCTTTTCAAGAGCACATGGCACTCAAAGATACATCCATACAAATAGAGAATGGAACACAAAGCTAATCAAAAAGATGCCCATCATGACATTACCCTTTTTTTTTCTTTTTTTTTTTACTTTTAAGCATTGCAGGTTTAGCCTATTGTTTGTTTTAACGTTTTTTTTTTAATGCTTCCTCAAAACCAAACCCTGCTTTATGGCTGTTTTACTTCTAAAGAACAAACACATCCAATTTGGGCATCCTGTACTTAAGACTCTTGAAACTTTGTACCATTAAACATCAATAGAGAACTGCTTGTAGATGTATTTGATCTATATCTTCAACATCTATATCACCAGATTTTTCTCTACCATCAGACTTGTCGCCTTAATCTGCTGCATATCAGAACTCTAACTTATTTAAACCCACCCTGACGAAAGCGGTGTGTTTCGATCAGGTCTTCAGGGGGAAAGACAATCCCCTGAGCCTGGACTGGAGCAGAGGGAGAGTGTTCGACAAGGAGGTGGGACAGATGTTTGTGAATCAGGTCAAGGCATTCAAGGAGGCCCAGGTAAGAGCCAAAAAGTGTCTGTAGAAAATGCTGCGTTTCAGGACATGTTAGGAGTGGGGGGGAATGGTTCTCCGTACACAGGTTAGGAGTTTTGGATAAAAATTCCGAGTGTTATCGGAATGCCGTCAACCCTGTCGTCCATATTTGTTTATTGCAGGTGGAGTCTGTGACTAAGAAAGAGAAGACCAAGCAGAGACCTCAGGCCCTGAACACTGTGGAGATGCTGAGAGTTGCAAGCTCCTCGTTGGGTATTTTTCAGCACGCCATTATTCTTTTCCCCGTTAGTGGAGCGTTCAGACTAATTCTCCTTGCGTAGTTCGACTCAATATCATTCTGTTTATAATGCCCCAAATCTCAGCAAATTTCATCTTGAGTCCCTTAAATTCAGCCCAGTTCAAGCCAACTGAGGTCCATTTCATAAAACCACAATAATTCAAGTTGATAAAGCTAAATCAGATTCATACAGAGCCAGTCAAATATATGTAGCTCGTCTCATAAGAGAGAGACCTAATAACTGAAGGATATGCCCCCTATTCTACTTTTAGATACTCTAACTTTCTATGTGCAGACATAAGCTGTAGATAGAAGAAAAATAGCTTCAATTTGGGGCAAGTCTGACTTTGATTTGAATGAACTGTTCAGATTATTACGTTTTATCGTTATGTTTTCTCTGACATTCTTCCCTTAGAACAAAACAGGCGTTGCTTCTGTAACTGGCCAATTTAGGATGAAATCATGTGGTTTTCAAATATGCATTCGACAGGTCAACATTATCTTCTTTTTTCTGGAAGAGTTGTTGGATTATTTCCCTGATTCATGACAGAATGGCTTGTTTTGGGTGAGCAGCCTCAGCTAAAGCCTTCTGGGCTTTTCAAAATAAAGTCCCTGCTGGTGCTGCAGGTCAGGATGAGACACGAGCTCCAGAATCCTCCTCTTTCCCTTCCGTGATCCAGTGAAGGTTTTATTGGCCGACTGGCCGGGTTCAAACTGTCAGAAGCCGATTCTTTGAGGGAATTCTGCAACCCTTAATTTTTTTTTTTGTCATCGCACATAATGATGAAAAGTTAGTATTAAGCTCCCGGGGATCTGGAGAAAGCCGTGAAGGAGCGTGTAACGGGATATTTCTCGGTGCTGCAGGCATGGGTCCCCAGCATTCCATGCAGATCGCGGAGCGGCTCTACACGCAGGGCTACATCAGCTACCCCCGCACGGAGACCACCCACTACCCGGAGAACTTTGACCTGAAGGGAACGCTGAAGCAGCAGATGAACAGCTCCATCTTTGGAGAGGAGGTGAGACAAAATGACTAAATATTGGACATGTAAAGAACAATGTCATGTCAAAGGATGTGGACTGGCATGTTTTGGAACTAATTAGGTGACCTGTCAACAGGCCAGTAACATACTGAATTTAGAGTCAGAGTCTCGATTGGAAGAGATTCTGATGGTTTTTCGTGTGAAATTCAGGAGACCTCAAGTTTTCCACTATATTCCAATATCTAAGGCTCTGAGAGTCTGAGTAACTTTTTTTAGGGGCCTCAAGTGGCCCCTTAAAAACTGATATTGGACTCTACGATCCAAAATTCTGATTTATCTTTGCTTTCTTTCAGAATAGCTCTATCTGATGCTGATCTGATTGTTTTTTTAATTTTGTTCGACTTTTTTTCTCGTGGAATTCTTATATTGTGTTTTTCAGTTAGCATTTGCCACTCCAGAGTTTAGAACGCTGTCCGTCACAGATTTGCTGACCCCTGTTTGAGATTATGTACAAACTTTCAAACATTTGGGTGAAACCCAAAGGTTTTTTTAGACTTTGTTGCGTACACTTGAATTTAGTTAACATTGATTAGTTTTGCTTGTGGATATAAACAGGTTTACTGGGAAATGGCCACTTAAATCTGCAGCTACTCTTCACCACAGACTTCTTGAAAATAATCAAAACCACCCTAGCTTCCTTAAGAAGTTGACATGTACTTCTTCAGCCAGTGATATTTCTTTAGTTTTCAGCTCACACTGCTCCAGGTAAACCAGCAGATACCTGCCATCCTCAAAGCTTTAATTCACTGTCCACCACTGGTTCACCAATCAAGGAGGGACGTTATGGAGGAAAACATAGATGTGTTTCTTTAGTGACAGACTCCTGTGAGGCCTCGGGAGAGTCTGTCATCTTATGAAGAAGCTGAACACGTATCTTTAAGCCTATCGAATAAAAGAACTGAATGCATAGTTAGAATTTTGTCCAGTACTTGTTCTATAGTTCCTCTCACAGTTTTACGGTTGCATAAACGTTCTTCCTCTGTTAACATCAGGTGAAAGCTCTGCTTTCGACAGGGTTAAACCGACCTAGAAAAGGAGCTGACGCCGGAGACCATCCGCCTATTACCCCTATGCATGCTGCCTCTGAGCTAGAACTGGGTGAGTAATAAAGCGACAACACAAACTGAAAATAGATCCTATTAAGATCAGGGAAAGAGGACTTACTTCCTCTCTGAGATGATCTGGCTTTTATTGGATTAGAGTGGCTTCCAAATTGCTCTTAGTCTTAATGTACCACTTTTAAAAAGTAGTTATTCCACTGTGATACATGTGAATTAAATACAGCTTTGTGGAGAATTTGACTGATGTGTGAACAGAGAGAAGGGAAAAAAGTTGCCAAGGCGCTTATAAAAGAGCACCTTACTTTTGTAAAAGTGGACAGAGTTATTAACCCTCTCCTGGACATTAGCATACAGGAAGTCATTTGTGTTCAGTACCGTTTTTGGACAGTCTAGAACCTGGTAAAAAGCATCTAAAGCATAGTCCAGACTAGTGATGCAAAAAAAGAGCGAAACGTGTTTGTATAAAGAGGCTGAAGGAGCTAAGAACTCCATCTCTTACCGCAAACCACACTGAGGACACCTCGTGTCTCTCCCTTTTGTCTCAGAGACCATCCAGCATCAGTCCCCCCGTTCCCTCTAGGTCCCTACCGTGTCTAACCCAGGCTCCCCCTGCCGTGCCGTTTTACAGGGAGCGATGGCTGGCGCCTGTACGAGTACATCACTCGGCATTTCATCGCAACTATCAGCCAGGACTGCAAGTACCTGGAGACCACCATAAACTTCAGCATTGGCACAGAGTTCTTCTCCTGTAGTGGAAAAACACTCATATCACCAGGTAAAGGGCTGCAGAATCATTGTGTGTAAGTATATATGTACGGATATGTGTGTGTCTATATCTATCTCTCTCTATCTCTCTTACAGGTTACACCACAGTGATGCCATGGCAAGGCATACCTTTGGAGGAGGCCATGCCAGTTTGTGAGCGTGGAGATGCTTTTACCGTGGAAGAGGTCAAGCTCCTCGAAAGACAGACGAGCCCCCCAGACTACCTGACGGAGGCCGAGCTCATCACGCTCATGGAGAAGCACGGCATCGGTACGAACACACTAATAAAATAGCTATTACACCAACACAACTATATTTCAGTTCGTTTGCTAGCTTTGGCTGGTACGCCATCTGACTATTCAATCAGGGGGGGTGTATACGGTGACGTTGCCTTAGGCCTTCTAGAAGGCCCTGGTGTCACCAACTTAAAATCTGATTGGTTAAAGCAACAGTTTAATCGACATGTATTTTCTGTTGGGGGGGGGGGGCCTGCAGAACGGATTGTGAAGGCCACCAGGCAGACATCTTTGACTTTGACCCTGCCTAGCAACAAATGATGGCGAAATGTGATTGGTTAAATGCTTTTGTATGAAAATGCATGTCTGGAAGCAGCACAACCAGGGGAAAAGCTATGAAAGGAAGCAGACAGACCATTTAGAGATATTTAATTAGTATTCATAGACAAAATATAATTAACATCAGTCTGTGATTCAGATATTTTCTTGGGCCAGCAGAGAAGGCCTTGCAGGCCCTGACGGCCCACCATTAATCAACAACAATCTGCTTCCATTGACTTATACGGAGCATAAAACTGCACGTCTCAAGTCATCAAATTTGTCTGACACTTACAACATAATAATGCTCTTATAAAGCACTAAATCTAAAGGGGATCTACTTCATAGTACTGAAGTTTTATGGGATAGTAATAAAAGTATTGCATGTCTCACTCCTCCAGGTACTGATGCCAGCATCCCCGTCCACATTAACAACATCTGTCAGAGGAACTATGTCACCATAGAGAACGGACGCAAGCTGAAGCCCACCAACCTGGGCATCGTCCTGGTACACGGCTACTACAAGATAGGTCATTTAACTTCACCGTTTCTTCTCACGCTCTTCGATGTATCAAATGCAAAATGTATTTTATTTTGAGTCTTTAAAATTTCCTCTTAAGTTTGAAACCTGTGGCAAATGATAAAGATGTGAACATCAGTGTGGAACTGTTGGATGGAAGGAGCTGGTGAAAGAACATGAGCCACGGTAACTATTATGAGCGGCTCTCAAGGGTTCGGGTGTGTTGCTGTTTTGCAGATGCGGAGCTGGTGCTGCCCACCATTCGTAGTGCTGTGGAGAAGCAGCTAAATCTCATTGCTCACGGAGAAGCTAACTTCCAGCAGGTTCTGCAGCACGCGCTGGATATCTTCAAGAGGAAGTTCCACTACTTTGTAGATTCCATCATGAGTAAGTTCACCCTGTCCACAGGAAAACGGTCACCGGACTGTTGCAAAAGTTCAATTCCATCCAGTAATTTCAATGTCTGCTTGATACTTCTCGGGTTTACGTTAGCTGTTTAGTCCCCAAATTCTTAGTTTCTACACACGTTTTTTTTAAGGCTGAGGACAGTTGTCTTGTTCGCTCCACATATGGTACATTTCCAAAGTTGCCTGCCTGCCCATGCTTTTTTTATTTATTTTTTTTATAAATTTTATTTTAAGTTTTCAAGGTTTAAAACATACAGAAAAACAAACAAATAAAACCCAGATGCACAGGTCATACATAAAACATTCCAGTTGACAAATGGTGTACACACACAACAAATGCATACAAAGTCATATACATAGGAATGCATACGGCCATTAAGGTGAGGCAGAGGGGAAAGTCTAACTTGGTGTTCAACTTAGTCTATTCCGTGAAAAGTGTTCCAGGAAGGGATTCCAGTAGCATGAAAAAGTGTCTTTAGAGCCTTTGCGAAGTCTTTCCATCTGTATAATGGACATCATGTTGCCTGCCCATGCTTTTATTTGTTATTCGTGCTACAAGAAGTATGGAGGAAATTGTTCAGCATCCACAAACTGATCCACAATAAATCCACAGGCCCATGGTTTGGATGACAGTCATCTGGTCCTGCTCTCAGCAGCTCACAGATCTGAGTGTCATCAGCACAGTTGTGATAGGACACAACATGGGTGAATATCAGCTGGTCTAATGAAAGCATGTACAGATTGAACGAAAGGGGTCCCAGGATTGAGCCTGGGGGAACCCCACAGCTCAGAGCCATTCAGCCTGAGAATCAGTTTACCAATCTCAACTTTTTTTTTTTCAAGAAAGTTTTCCATGTTATTCTTTTTCACGACCATGCACTGCCATAAAATACAACGCATTACTGGATCAATGAAAGGCATGTAGCTCATAGCTACCATGGTTTTTAATCATTAATGTCAGTTAATGTGATTTGTGTCTTAAATGTCTTGTTGAAGTTATGTACTTTCTTCCACTCGTCATGCACAGCTATTTCTGTGAATATAAGATAAGATAAGCTTTATTGATCTCACAGTGGAAAAATTCAGAAAGCATATGAAAGCATTTGTTTAATCCCATATCAAAGTTATCTTGGGGAACAAAGTATTTCCTTTTCATCTTTTTTGTGTTTTTATTCCTTATTTTTCTTCTAAATAATTTTGCGTAATCGTTTTTTAAAAAGGATTTTTTTTCAGTTGACTACAAATTCATTACATCCAGGCCCAGTTTAAATCCCAAGTTGCAATGCCACAGAATAAAAATAAAAACACTAGGACAAAAATCAGTTCTTCCAAGTGGCTCTAGTCCAACTGAGCTGTTGTGTTGTGTTGTGTTCCAGGCATGGACGAGCTGATGGAGGTCTCCTTTTCCCCTATTGCATCAACAGGAAAACCACTTTCCCGCTGTGGCAAATGCCACCGCTTCATGAAGTACATCCAGGTCAGTTAAAGTCAAAGCAGTGCTGGATTTTCTGGCTGCCTCTTTTTTTTATCATTGACAAGACCATAGTCTGTTATTATATTTGGAGATGGACACACTATAATGAATAATGAGCAATGTGGACTTAAGACAACAAGCACATGGACCCTCCTCTCTGTCTATGAGCTTCACAGATAATGGGTGGAATGCCATATTTTTCCTTACATCAGGTTGCTTCATGTACGAATAAGATTTGTATTATTGTTATCCCATATATTGATATATTCACATATATATAAATGCCCTGTTCACCTGGTGCAACAAAACTAGATTTTTTTGCGTTACTGTTAGTTAGTAGCACCTTAGTTAGTAGTTCTAGCAGTGAACATTAAGTCAGGCATGAGGTGCTAATGCTTCCAAATCTTTAGCAGCTTATATAAACAATTAAGTTAACCGAGATCGAACTTGAATGAGATTTGATACCGATGACGCAGCAAAAGTAAAAAGCTAAAGAATCTTAGCTTCCCACTTCCAAACTACAAAGAAGTAAGCTTTATCTGAATTTTAAGATGGGCATAGATTAGAAGAGTAAAAGATAGATAATGTCTCTGATATCATGGTGCCAAGGATTTTCATTAGGGATTTCAGACGCCCAAACGCAAGCATGTAAAAAATATTTTGTAACAATATGTTCCTTATAAATAGCATTTTAGACACATGGCTGCTGGCAGACTGGAATGTAGACATTTGTTAAGACAACACAATGCAGTCAGTGTGAGAGCAGCCAGTTTGACCAAAAACCAAAGAGAATTCGTAAGCTTAAAAACATAAAAAACATCCAAAGGTATTGGAATTTTACCAAAACCTGGACAACTGTTCCTGTTAATGATTATTAACAAAACAAAACCACGTAAAGCTTTCCCTATAAGAATAAGTTGGTCATACAATTTATAGAACAATCCAAAAGTGTATTTCAGTGGTTTTAAACTCATATTTGATTTATTTTGGCATTTTTCAACAAATTACAGAACTTATGTCCTGTTTTTTGGAAATCTGTGAGGAAATGAAGTTCACAGAGGACTCTGCTTACTGTGTCTGTTTTTTTTTTGGAGTGTGTTCTTTTTATCTTCGTGCCCAGACCGCGTCGGTGTGCTTTCTTTGGCCAGATGACGTCAAACTGTCGACCTTAAAAAACCTGAAAATGTCCTTTCCCTTTCACCAGAGGACCACTTCATTACCCATTCACGAATGACTAATGAAGTTTCAGAACTTTTGGTCCTTGTCATTGCGACTGAATACAAAATGAGCGCATAATGTGCGACGTCCTTCTGAATACGTAGAGCACAAAGTCTCCCGTCCATCTGGTCAGCTTGACCTCTCTGGTTGGACAGGACTTTATCGACTGGCTCAGCAAAAGTTTAAAAAAAAAGTTACATCCATATGTACTTTTGGACAGATTCTACCTGCTCAGGCCTCAGTGGCTATAAAAAATTTAAAAACAAACAACTCCCACCACCATTCTGGAGAGTTTGAGGTTTTTATGCTGAAATACTGATTGGATTTTTCCAGGCGTGCTCATTTTTTAAGACAGTGTCATTTCTTTTTTGCATTTTAGTGATGTCCAGATAAAGGTCCAGAGCTCGGCTATCTAGACTGTTGAAGACAGTCCACCTTTTTCCAGAGTGGGTTTAATTCCCCACCAGGAAACAGGGGTTCCACCCAGCCTGAGACTGACTTTTTTTAACCAGTTTCAATGGCCATGTATATGAATTCTGAACTAAAAACGTGTTTTCAGGCCAAGCCCAGCAGGCTCCACTGCTCCCACTGCGACGAGACCTACAGCCTTCCCCAGAACGGAGCCATCAAGCTGTACAAGGAGCTCCGCTGCCCGCTGGATGACTTTGAGCTGGTGCTCTGGACCTCCGGGTCCCGGGGGAAGAGCTACCCGCTGTGCCCCTACTGCTACGGGAACCCGCCGTTCAGGGACATGAAGAAAGGTCATTTCTCCTACTCGTTAATGTTCGTTCTCCATTTTAGTACATTCAAATGTGACTTATTCAAATCGTATGCCTCAGGGATGTCGTTTTTAGCCTAGATTAACCCTATAGTACCAAATGTATCATATTTGATTCATACGGTTTCTGAAGTCTTTTGGATCTGAGACTTTCTGCATCATTCAGTGGTAAAAGCTTTGCTCAAACCCCTGTTGAACACATTCAGATATACCTGATAACAGCCAGTAGAAGACTACACCAAAATACATTTTTGACTTATTGCATGCTAATTTGATTCAAATGAATTCTGTTTTTTTTCTTCATATGTTGTTAAGAGGCCAAAGAAAGACTTCAGACTAAAAAAATCCAATATTCTTCCTATTTTTCTTGGCTCAGGCTTTGAAGGGTTAAACTTTTTGCCATACATTTTATGGCTGTATACAACAGATAGATACAATATTGTTGATTGTAGTCCTTATAATCCCGACCACCAATTATATAATTGTGGTCAATGAACAAGCAGCAGGTTTAAGAGGTAGAAGGTCCTGCGGGAACGTTCCTGGTTGTTTCTTTTTTGTCGTTTCTAAACGGCCTGGGTCTGAGTCCTGTGAAGTCTGGTTCTGGTTCTGGAATTGGGGAAGTCGAACAGCCCCTTCTGCAGGGCCGATTGAACGTTTGCAGAAGATAAATGAGCGAAAAAGTGGACAGCGAACTTAAAAATATGTCCTTTTTTACTGGAATTCACAATGAAATGACCACCGTTCCATTCTGTCCCCAGGCATGGGCTGTAACGAGTGCACCCACCCGTCCTGCCAGCACTCCCTCAACTCTCTGGGCATTTCCCAGTGCGTGGAGTGTGAGGGGGGGGTTCTGGTTCTGGACCCTACCTCCGGACCCAAATGGAAGATGGCCTGCAACCAATGCAACGTGGTGGTGCATTTCTTCGAACACGCGCACAAAGTCCAGGTGAGGAGAACCTCCCGGTCCCATCTCGGAGTCGGTTCTATTTTTCGAAAACTGGTTAAACGCAGTGGGGTCCATTTCCCCCCCCCCCCCCCTCCAGGCCGCCCAGGAGAGCTGCGAGGCGTGCGACGCCGCCCTGGTGGCGGTGGACTTCAACAAGGCGCGCAGCCCGCTCCCCGCCGGCGAGACGCAGCACACGGGCTGCGTGTTCTGCGACCCGGTCTTCCAGGACCTGGTGGAGCTCAAGCACGCCACCATGAGGCACGCCTCGCACCGGGGCGGGGGCGCCCGGCGGGGGAGGGGCCGGGGGCGGCGCGGAAACCCCAAAAAGCCCAAAGACAAAATGTCCGCCCTGGCAGCTTACTTTGTGTAGTCCCAACGACAAACACAGCCTGTGTGTGTGTCTGTACGTCCCTTCTTTTTCTCTGTAAATGACATGAAGTAAAACCAATGATCGAGGAATCGTTTTGTTGAGTGTTTGTTTTAGTTTCTTATCCATAGGCTGAGAAAATGAAGGACAGAACACTGTCCTATCTTACATCCTCACCCATTTTGTGACCCTCTAATGGGAAATGGTTCACTTTGGTAAGTAACTATTAACTATTATTATATTTTCCAAAGCGTGTTAGAATGTTTTTAGCATAACTAGTAACACAATCAATCAGAACACACTAATAAGCAGCAGTTTTTCCCTCTTTTCCTGCCATAAGCCAAGGATGTTTGCAACCCATTGTGGGGTTGGGGGTTTAACTCCCAGACACCCCTATAGATTTACACTTTACCCATTAAAGCAGCTACATTTGTTCCAGGGAATGTGACCAGAAAAGTCTGGGCTGATATTCGGCATCTAAAAAAGAGAAAGTCATTTGCGGTAGTAAACTAAATAAAAAAAATCTGAGTCCTATCTGGTGGTACACCAACGCAAATCCTCCCATAGCTCTCTCTTAAACATAATAATTGACAGGAAGTCATAGAGGAGATGAGTAAGGCTCTACTGAAGGGAGGTTTATTATTCTTAAAAGTTTTCTGCATAAGTGAAGTGGCTGTGTGTGATCGTTTCTGACCAAAGTAAGGCCATCCCCAATGCCTAATGCTAATGACGGGAAAAGCAATATGATTTAGAACAAATGTGTCATCCCTCCAGCAAACAATATCCCACCACTCCGTCTCTGACGTAGACCCCCCCCCCCCCATTACCTGGATCCCCATCAGCGTGGCTAAAATCTTTACAAGAAGAGGGCATATAAATAGAGGCAGATCCCCCCGAACAAGTTGCAGATAGACTTCAAGCCCAGAGACAAATTGAAAGCCGGCCAAACGAATTAAACGTAGAAAACAAGAACGATTTCAAATCAACATCAGCTTAAAAGTACATATTCCGTTGAGTCAATTTTCTCTTCGAAACTTGGAGGAACAATGGATCAGCGCCAGGTAAGAAATGATTTATTACATGCAATTATGGTTCTGATTGTCTCTGAAAGCCAAAACTTGAATGCATTCAGCTAATTTAAAGGATATGTCTGTATTCTCCCACCTTCTCAGGAATGAGTTTTTTCATCCTCAGTAGTAAAGTTTACTTTGAAAAGTGCAACAGGCTTTGACAAAATGAAGGTTTTCCTTCTTTGAAGACTTCTGCATGAACGGAAGTGCCTAGTTAGGAAAGTCACGGTCAATTTGGAAGTGGATATTCTTATTCTGTGGTTACAGTCCCTGTGCTGGTTCTTTTCCTCTCTCCGTCCAGCTGCTGTGCGTTTTTCTGATCTGCGTCCTGGCGCTCCACCAGTGTCCGGCCATGCCGCTGAGCAGCCAGTGTGTGGACGAGTCCTTCTGCACGTCCAGCCTGCAGGACTACTACAGCCAGCTGGTCAACCTGCCCAGCCACATCAACGAGCGCAGTCTGGCCACCTGGAGCTACGTGTGAGTGCCACCCGCTCAAATCAGCTCAGTTTAGGTCCAGTTACACTTATGTCACCTCTAGGCACAGTAGTGGGTTACATATCCAATCAGAATCCAGATGACGGTCATCCAATAAATTGTGATCCAGGAACCAAACTAAATGTGAGACAGCACAGATGAAAACAAACAAGCAAACAAAGCTCTTAGCCAGGAATATCTGATGTAAAAAGCAGCAAAAAATGGAAAAAAGAAACACACTTGATGACAATAATGGTTCATACACAGCAAGTGAAATGCAACTAGAAAAGGTGTCACGAGTTTGGGTTTGTTTTATCTTTGGTTTACTTCCATTAGATTTTTTACTGTGATTTTCATATTATAAATGCCTGGTCCTGTCTGTAAACTATATTTAAGTTTTTCCAGTCTCTGCACATCCTTCCTCCATTTGTCTGCCCTAGTTCTTTGTTCCTTTACATTTAGTTTTTCTTCTCACGTGTATTTTTTTGGGATAATCCGACTTTTGTGACTGTTTTGGGTGAGCAGGTGCAGGCATAGAGAACATTCATCATTCATCACCCTAACCAGAACAGGGGATGGCTGGCCTTTCTCTGCAGATGTCCAAAAATGTTTTCTTTCAAAGGACAAATGTGGACTTTGACTGACGTTTTTAAACAGAAAATATACATTCAGAGATGTGGTGTCTATTTATGGGAATGCTAAAGAGGAAAGTTTTCAGTTGGCCTAGAACTGTAACCTAAGAGCTGCCTCCATTTTTAACCAGGCTTATTTCCTATAGTAGTCTACATTGATTAGGTAAAACTGGACACCATCTGCTTTAAAATGTAAGCGTTTTGATTTAGAATTTGCTTGAATAAGCTCTATCAAAGGCTCAATGGCCAGTACGACTAATGGAAAACCTAGATGGTCACTGCCTCTCCCTCACTATTTGTTACTTGTTTTATTATGTTCAAACCTTACATTTTAAGAAGAATTTCATAGTTTCGTGGAGACAGTTTGGTGGGGCTTTGCCGGGGTGGTTTTGTAGGTGAAGAGTTCCAGTCAGCCATTCAAAAACGTAAGCATCGATCAGGGATGGGGGCATTATGATGCTGGGTTCCCGGGGTCCAGTCCAGTAAAGAGCTGTCACAAACTGTACAGATTAATAAACCCCCTGCTCTGTTTCGTTGGACAGGGAGAACATCAACCTGGACCGCATACCTCAGGTCATCCACGAAGCCAGCTGCCACACCAGCCACACCTGCAGCGGGTTCGACCACGCCTTCGCCCTGGAGACCATCCCCGTGTCCCTACGGGTGCCGGTCCTGAAGAAAAACCCCGCCTGCTTCCCCTCGGCCAGCTACTCCCTGGAGTTTGAGCTGGTCACCGTGGCGTGTATATGTGCCATCTCCCGCCTGGGCTGAACGGGGACGGTTCACACACCTTCAGCCTGTTCACGTTTAACCTCAGGCGAGGGGAGACTCGCTTCTGTTCAGATAAAATAACAGGTTAAAAGGGATTACTCTAACAAAAAAAAAGGCACATTTGTTTCAATGCTTTCTTGTGGGTCAATTTTCATGGTGATTAAAACATCCGTAACATTAATCTGTTTCATTCTTGCCTCCTTGAGGAGTTACACCTGTTTTCAAAAGATGTGGGACTAAATTAGATCTAGATTAAAACATTTGAACTGAAAAAGGACAGAAAATTGTATTGTTTTTTTTTAAAGACAGAGACTCAAAATGGTATGCCAGCCAATATTTGTTTAAAAAGGAATATCGCAGAATACTTTGTACTGCTAAAAGCAACACATAACAAAACAACACAACTTTGTAAAAGTAGCATCCCTGAGGTGCCAAATCTTAAAGATTCAAATTATTCAAGATTAACAGTCAAGATTCAAACTTTTATAATCAAATGAGCAGTAAGACAGTGTGTTTCTATGTTCAGTTAGATTCTTTATTTGCCGTCCACATGACTGCCAGGTATGGAAATAAGACGGAATGAAAACTATTGTAAAACCTCTTTTCATTTTTGGAACAAACTGTCATTTGTATCATTTGTTCCACGGCCCCAAAAGCTACAATAACTACTTCATAAATACTGCAGATAAATACACATAGCTATAATGTGAAAATAAAGAAACAATAAAGAAATAATCAATCAAAAGGGGGTGATGGTCAGCATGGAGATAGAGGTGGAGACTGAGATACAAGACACACCATAACTTACTCTAACTTTCACTACGTGAACTTTAAACTAACTTAGCCTATTTTATATACATTTTATATATTTTTATGTATATATATATTTTCCTTCGACGTCAGAGAAACGTATGGTGGAAATTTACTTCGGGTGTCGAGGCGAATATTTGATCAAATTTCACTTCGTATGTTGATTAATTCGTAAGTAGAGGTTCAGCTAGACTTCGCTGGTACTGTCGCTGTATTGACCCCGCCCCCCCCCGGCGGCCCGTCCAGCTGCGTCCATCTGGGGCTCCGCTCCCCACTCCGCTCCGGGCGCTTTTCCGCAGGCCGACGACGGTTTCCGGGTCACGAGCCGAGCCCACGGAGCGAGCGGCGGCAAGCAAACTGGGGGGGTGGTGGTGGCGGTGGTGGGGGGGGGCGGAAGAGTAGAGCAGCCCTCCGTCTCGGTGAAGGAGTTCCCGTCAGTTGGAGTGGACAGTGAGCCTCGCCCGCGTTCCCGCCGCCGGCCCAGCCCCAGGTGAGTCCCGGACATGAGCAGCCCCTGCCCCGTTAGCTAGCCAGTTTCCGGTCGTCGAAACACACACGCGGAAAAAGTCATTTCTCACGAGCACGTCGTCCAGAATGAGTGGGGTTTTGGGCGTTAGCGCGTGCTTTAAGGTCAGGAGCTGGTTTTAAAAGCGGCTTTTTTGACCAAACGGCAGACTTGTGGGTCATTGTGCTTGTTGTGTTGTGTTGTGTAGTGTTGTTGTCACGGCCAGCTGCCACCCCGGAGCTGCTAACGTGCCGGGCTTCCACTTCTAACGGGTGGGGCCACTTTTAGAAGGTGGCTTCCCATTTGCCAAGTCAACATAACGGACCATTTCCGCTTTCTTTTCCTTTCCTTTTCTTTTCTTTTTTGGCCACAGACCCTTCCTTATCGGGGTTTCCATGATAAGCACCAAAGTCAGAGTGGTCACGTGGTCAGTTCCAAACGGAGCTAACCCTAAACCTGACCCCTAACCCTAACCCCTGGAACTGACCTGAGGACTTTTCCCACCTGGGGCTGATGTCAGAACCTGCTCTGTGAATCTGGAAAAAGTCTGACCTGTCCTACAGAAGGCGTGGATGTGTCAGTATTGTGTGGCTAATTTGTGAAGTCTTCTTGTCCTCTGATTTGTGTACATTCACAAGACTCCTGCAGAAGACATAAAGAGCTGGCCCTGCTGTTGGTCAGAAGCTGAAACACATCAGGGCGGCCATCAGAGTCCAGACAGTAGAAGATGGGACTATGAGAAAAGGCTTGATAGAGCTTAAACCAGACACACAAGCACATGAATAAACAAGAAAGTCCCTTTTTGTGTTTTTTTTGTAGTCATTTTTAATTTTGAATAAGTGAAATATTTGTGAAACCATTGAGTAGAAAAAACTAATCTAATACATTTTCTTGATGTCCGGAAAAGTCTCGTATGAATAAAAAAACTGGATAAAAAAAAATTAAACAAAAGGAATGCCTTTTTTTGGGTTTGGTTTGGAAGTAGTTATTGGATGTATTTTTTATTTTTTATAGTCAATAAAACACAAAACTGTGATGAATAATTATTATTAACTGCGCTGACTATTTGCAGGAAGGTCATTAGTGAGTACCGAGCTTAGTTTATTTTGTGGGATATGTGGGAAAACACGAAGATGAAAAGAACCACACAGCGCCCCAAAAAAAAACTTAAGAAATAACCAGAAGAATTCAAGATTTCCATATAGCTCTTTATTTTTCTTTCTTTTCTGCAACTTTTCCTTCTGACAGCTCTGAATGTGTGTGCAAAGTTAGAATTTGTGCTCATTGAATTGTTCATTTAGCCCATTTGTTTACTTTTTGGTTTTCTTTAATAACTTACAAATTACAAAAATAAAATGTGTGCTAACTTGACATATTTGTGCTTAGATTTCTTTTATTTGAAAGCTTGTATCTGACGTGAAAACGAAGGCGATTCTCTGAAAATACATGTATGAAATTGATCTGACCCAGCCGTAAAGCCATTATCATGAGACTCACATTTTTCTGTCACTTGTTTTTTTCCAGTTTTCTGTCTCAGACCCGGAGTGACGGGCCCAGTGTTATCTGATGTCAGAGAAGCAGCGGAGTGAGATGGAGGAGGACGCTCGCTCTTTCTTGGAGAAGTTCGTGGAGGAGTTCCCGGCTCCTCTGGAGGAGGGGAATCCGATGCCGGTCAGCCCGCTGAGCCAGAGGGTCAGCCTGGAGGAGCTGCCCGGAGAGAGCCTGGAGCTGGGGCTGAGGCTGCTGGCTGCCAGGTACCGCAACACACACACACACACACACACACACACACACACACACACACACACACACACACACACACACACACACACACACACACACACACACAC